CCCAAAACCCCAAAACCCCAAAACCCCAAAACCCCAAAACCCCATTACCAAAATAAATTTTACTAATTTTAACATTTATAAAAATTCTTTAAATGAGAAGAAATGGGAGTACCCAGCCACAGAATGCATGGAACAATGAAATAAAGGGAATGATCCTAGACAATGACTTTACACTTAAAGGAAGCGGAATCATTCCCATGACGAGTTCAGGTAAAAGGAGGAGTGTCAAGAGAAAACCTAATAATAATGGGTGGGTATTTGCTAGTAATTCAAAATAAAATTGACTCAGATGCTAGGAGTAATATCAAACCTCAAACTCTTTCTGAAATGCTTGCATATTCAAGACCCTCAACACAGGGAGGAAAGAATTTGAAAGGGTTCTTTAGAAATAGCGGAGGTTCTCCAAAAATTTTTAAGGTTAATAATGGGTTCATAAGGAGACAGATATCTCAAGGCAAAATGCAAAGCTCTAATAAGAATACAATGAGTAATGTAAAAAGCACAGTGACACTGAAGTCTTCGCAAGTAACACTTTCTCCAAAGTATAAAGATTTTTACCAAAATCAGAAAAAGGTTTCAACGAACATGATTGATATTGAATCTCCTGTGGATAATTTAACTGCAGCAAGTGGTGGCTCTAATACTTTGGTAAAAACTGCTAAGCAACCTGTCCAGAATGTTTATAAAAATACACAAGGGTTGCAAGGATCTATATATTCTGTATCGAACTCGACTGACATTAGAAATAAGATGGATAAAGATTCTCAAAACACTAAAGAAATACAGCCAAGTGAACCTATGGGAATTATTGATACCGGACCTCAAAGAGCAATAACTCAATCAAGTAAAGTTAGAGTTAATAAAGAAACAGTTAATAGAATAAGAGAGGCGAAGAAGAAAGCAGGCACTTTCATGAGTCAGAACAGCCACAAGGCAATTTTCCAGTACCAGTTTGAAATGCAAAATAAAGAAGAAGAGAGTTGATTTAGAGATCTATATGATTGTCTCAATGACCTAATTGATTAGTTATTCTTATTCTTAATATCTTAACCTTTCAAAAATTTTGTTAATTATAGGGGTTTTGGGGTTTTGGGGTTTTGGGGTTTTGGGG